TCCTCTCCTCTCCTCTCCTCTCCTCTCCTCTCCTCAGGAGCATCTCCCCACCTTCCTTTTTAACGGCTACGAGGATCTGGACACGTTCCAGCTGCTGGAAGAGGAAGACCTGGACGAGCTGAACATCACAGACCCCCAGCACAGAGCGGTGCTGCTCACCGCCGTGGAGCTGCTGCAGGAGTACGAAGGTGGGTCTGAAACGGCGCAGACAGGAGTCCTGCAAAGACGGGAGGAAAAAAAGTGATGTCCAACTCAGAATAAATGTGGAAAAACAAAACAGTAGGAAAAATACTCAACCCACACTTGATTTATTTTCCAGCTCTCACCAAATGTCTTTGGTATCCTTCCTTCCTTCTTTCATGTCCTTGAAAGAAGGACATGAAAGAAGGAAGGATACCTTCCTTCATTTTGTCGTTCATTCCTCCCTTCTTTCGTTTCTGCAATATCCTTCCTTGCTTCCTTTCTCCATGTCTCCTGTATCATTCCTTCTTTCTTTCCTTCCTCCCTTCCTTTGATATCCTTCCTTGCTTCCGTCCTTCATGTCTTTGATGTCTTTCTATGCTTCCTTTATGTCTTAAGTTTCCTTCATTCCTTCGTGTGGTAATCATAGTAAAGTTCTGTTTCTTTAAGAAAAAATATTATTGAAGCAAATAACTGAATTTGGAAAATTGAATTTGGAAATTTTGTATGTATAAAAATATTCACATGCAGATGCTCAGATGTAAATGTGACGCTAATGTGACTGTCTGCCCCCTGCTGGTGGCTGCAGGAAGCAGCGACCCCGAGCGAAGCGCCCAGTCCGGACCGTCCCAGGAGAAGCTGCTCCTGGACCGGCGCGGCGCCCTGGGCGACTCGCCGCGGGACTCGGGCTGCTACGAGAGCAACGAGAACCTGGAGAACGGTAACGACAGCCTGACCCGCCTCTGAGCCCTGTCCTCTCTCCTTCAGCCCTCCTCTTCCTCAGTCTAGAAACACTCCGGAGGCTTCTCTTCCTCCTCGACGCTCTGGCATTGCCACCCACCAGCTTCAGCTTTCACGCTATTCTCGAAAGACTTTGTCACCATTTACCGCCGATGCTCTTCTTCCCACACCATAATCCCCTGGTTTTCTGCTGCTGCGCCACTTTGTCATGCAGAGCTAAACTAAAGACTCGACGGCGATGACGGATTTCTGTTTTCATGAGACTAGAAGTTCAAGGTCAACCTTGAAAACCCTCAAGCGGTCTAAATGTGGAGCAGCTTGCAGGTTCTGGTCAGCGGTCTGAGCTCTTTTCTGCTTTCGCTGCAAATAGAGACGTTTGAACCGCTGTGAGAGGAGAGTGTTTATTAATCAAGCTTTTGTTCTTGTTTTGTTTTACTTTCTCTTAACTCTTCTCATAATTGCAGTACATATTTACCGTGAGTGCTTGGCCTATTTACAGCTACGGGATGGGTCAGAAGTTTACATACAGTGTTGCTGACCTGATTCTTGTTGTTTCAGACTTTAAGTAGTTGAACTGCTCCTTTTTTAGGTTGAAATTATTAACCAACTCAAACGTAACGATTACATGAGCGAATTTTCAAAATGAGACAGAGGGCTGCAGCAAACAATTATTTTCATTATTATTCTGATGATTAATCGGATAAAAATATTTTGACACGTTTAAGACCGTTTTTATACAATATTAGAAAAACATTAAAAGATTAAAATAACAAAATAAATGCATTTTTATAAGAACATAAACATTTTATTGCCTAAATTGAGTAACACAGCATGCCACTTCAATATATTTGAGTTTATAGAGCAGCAAGATTGAACTTGTCCAGATTAGAAAAATTCTCACAATAACATCAAAACTGCCGTCAATTCAAATGTCATTTCGATGAAGAATCAAGAGCCTGAAACCTGAGTTTCTTGTTCTGCGACTGTGTGTAAACCTCTGAACTGTACATCGTGCTTACTGTGGTTGTTTGCTAACTGTTAAAACACAAACGCTTGTATGTATTGTAAAAGAAAAAGATGAAACGCTCTGAATGTCACTGTGTCAGCTCGGCCTCACCCGCGTTCTGTTGAGATTCTGCTTTTCGTGTGTATATTTTTCTAGTTTGGTGAAATGTCATGTTGCACAATATTTTATCATGTGCCTGAAAGCTGCTTGGTGCAGTGGAATTAAAGTATTTTACTTCATAGTCTACCTGTCGAAATGTGGCATTTTTGTATAACTAACTTGTAAAATGCACCAGAACGCAGAGCTGATGTGACGTTTTGAGTGAAAGTTAGACGGTTCCTCCAGAAGCAGCTTGGGTTCTGAAGTGGGCTTCTGTCATGGTTGAGCGTGAGGAATAAACGGCTCCATGCTTCACCAGACTGGACTTCTCGCCTTTTCTTTCACACATCGTTCATTCCAGCTCTCACCGCCTGGCCGCTTCCTTTTGCAGCTTCTCCGTGTTCCAGCTGTGGCGTTCTTCTGCCCCTCATAAAAACATTCACACTTCTTGAAGTTTTTCACATTTTGTTGTGTTACGGCCACGTATTTCTACGTACTGTCTGTGATGGATCAACACAAGTGAATTTTTGACTAACAGTGAGACATGCAGCAGTATGTCTTACTGGTGATTTTACTTGGCTAGAAAACACAAACTGCGTCAGGTTGGATGGTATGAAAGAGAAGTACAGCCACTGAAAAAGACTCCAGACTTTTTCTTTCTCAGAATTCAGTTTTTTTTTGTTCTTAAAATTCTGACTTTACTCAGAATTTAGTTGTTTTTCTCAGAATTTGACTTTTTCTTAGAATTCTGATTTTTTTTCTCTCAGAATTTTGACTTTTTCTGAATTCTGCCATTTTTTTTATAGACTTTACCTTTTTTCAGAATTCTGACTTTTGATCTTGGAGGATTAAAGTCAGAATGCCGAGGGGAAAAAAGCCCCATCCATCTTCCTATTTTTAACCAGTTTTCCTGTCTCCACAGCATGATGCTGCTGCCACTAAGTTTCAGTCTGATAAGCTGAGTGAGGTGGAGACATGCTTGCTCTTTTTTATTATTATTACTATTATTTTATTTTTATTTTTTTAGGGTTATCAAATTAAAAGTGGCTGAATACAAATCCGTCATGTCTTTCAGATTTTTATTTCCAAACAAATGTTTGTTTTTCATCCACCTACCCCGCGTTGGTCGGTTGCACAAAATCGAAGTAAAATATGTAAAAGTTGTGGCTTTAACATGACAAAATGTTGGGAAATGGTTGGAAAAGTTGCAAGAAACTGTTGGTACACCTGCATGATCCACACACGCTTCCCTTGTTATTCCAGGACGGCTCAGAAAATCCGCTGCATCCATCAACAAGTCTCCGTCTGGATTTGAGACCGGTCACATCCCGCCCCCCGATTCCATCCTAATCTCCCCTTCCCTGTCTCCTCTCCAAACCAAAGCTCCGCTGCCCTCCGTTCCACCGTCTATCAGACTCCAGAAGAACCGCTTCGGCCTCCTGAACTCTAGAAGTCACAGCTGCACAGAGCTTAGAAGAAACCCGGCAGCCGTTCAGATATGGCGCTGCGCCTCCCTAAAAGCTCTCCAGAAAGATCAAGAGAGGAAACCCCCCAACCCTAAAGACTGGGATCTGCCTGCCGCAAAGCCAGCCCGGCCCCCACAGCGCGCCATAGACCCTCTGCCTGCGTGCAGAGCGTCTAACACGGACAAACGTCATGCGTTGGCCCCTAAACAGAAAGAAAAAACAGGGAGCAGCATTCGGTTTCACCAAGCTCCAGAGAAGTTAAGTCGGCCAGATTCATTCAGAGACTTCTTCCCGACAGAAACCACCTGCAGGTGCGAACGCACCGATCAGGTCTCTGCAAGTCGCTCCGTTTCTGCCACTTCGGAAGCTCGACGGCTGAAAATGAAAAGAAATGCAAAGGTTTCTACGCATTCAGTAAATTAGGAGCAAAAATGATTCCAGTTCCAAAACGTTTACCTAAAACTGGAACCAATTTGTGCTGATTTGAGATTTCACATGTGCAATAAGGAAACTTTCTTTCTTTTTTATTTTTTGGCTTTGCTGCAGCTGCTTCTGGATGTGGCTTTTCTTTGATTGTTTGGAAAAATGGAATCCGTTCCGAGTCCAGCTGCAGCTCAGCAGCATTTCATCTGAGCAAAACCTTCAACATCGCCGAGGTTCATAAGCTTCAAACTTTAGGGAATGCTTGTTACATTCATGTAAATATATCTTCCCAGATAAGATGAATGAATGTTTACAGTGCAACCTTTTGGATGAATGTTTTATAGGAATTTAGTGATTCTTACAGATTCCAGACGTCATCCGCAGCATCAAATGACTCATTTCCTGTCTGTTCCCCACAATTAGTGTTTTATTGTAAGTAGCATGTAGCTTACCTGTTCATTAATTTAATTAATAAAGTTTGCTTTGTTAAATATGTTCTATGTAAAAGTACAATCACGCTTGCTAAGTGTCTGACATTCTGTAAAATCTCTAGAAAAATCTCAATTTCAAATATTCTTTCCATACTTTACTGCTACAAAAATATTCTGTTTACAGCTAAATAAGCCGGTATGAGAATTTCATAGAATAGCCATGAAAAGTGTCATTAATATGGAAGATTGGAACAAAAACATGTGACAGAATCTAAATGCTTTTATTGGAAACAGAAAAGCAAGAATTATTCATTTTGCTACAGTTTAACAAAGTTATATTTAATTATTCTTTTGATTTCCCAGTAAATTAGTACATTATCAAAAATGATAAACTGATAAATGGCACGTATTCATTACAGATGTTTCAAGCATTAATTTTCATTCATTTTCATATTTTTAAATTGGAGTCTTACATAAAATCTTCTTTTTTTTAAGTATTTTTAATACAATAATAATGTGACATAAAGGCCCACATAATCAAGGTGAGTCAACAGTTTGGCAAAAGGTCAGTGATGGTTTAGTGGAAGGAAAAAGTATTTCTTATTACATAGAATGTTGCACCCTTTCACTGTTCTTCACTTTATATTTTTTTAAAAAGCTGGTTAGTCAGGTACCTTAATGAGAGATGGCTGGTGATCCTACTCTTCTTTGCAAATGGAAATATTTCCGAATAATTTTTTTTTTTTTTTTTTATGTATGTGGATATTATGTGGTGATAAACCAGGATGTTCTGTCTCTAGTAAAGATGTGTTTTAGTGCCATACTAGTTTAGCCTACAGCTTGGCCCCAGGCATTTCTTTCAGGCACTGTCTGACCAGCCCCAGGGCGTCCAAAGCCGTACCCCA